TTTTTTTTTTTTTTAAATAAATGCTTGTAACAATTTTTCAGAAAATGTATTATGTTTATTTTTCTGTGTTATGCTGTCGTGGGACTCGTCAGGGTTTGACGTGTTTCCTAGTCTATGCTATTTTTGCTGCTGTTCTCGGCATGTTTCAATTCGGATTCAACACCGGTGTCATCAACGCGCCTCAACGAGTGAGTCCATTTCTATTGCTTCAACCATTTCCGAAAATCAACTATTTAAATTTTTTTTTATTCTTCGTAGTGCTAGAGGAATTTCACTTCAGCAGACTGAAAAAATAATGAAAGATTTTGGAAACGAACCGCGTTTCATACGCATAGTAGACTAGAAATTCGTTCTAATTACGGATCGCAAGCAGAATATGAGCGATTGTTTTCTTCGCAAAATATTTGCTCGTGAAAAAAAAGTGTTAGATGAGATTTTTTCATCATGTCATTATTATTTTCTCTGTTCTTCTTGCAGATAATCGAGGATTTCATTGCGGAGATCTGGTCGAAGAGATACGGCGAGAAGATCGACAAAGGAATCAAGGATTTCTTGTGGTCTGTCGCCGTATCCGTTTTCGCAATCGGCGGGATGATCGGCGGCTTCGCAGGCGGTTTCATTGCCAATCGATTCGGAAGGTATGAAATAATGATCCCAAGTTATGGGATATCAGCTATCAGGCAACTCGAGTGCATTTCATTTAAAATTAAATTTTACGATGAAGATCTTCTTTAGAAAGCTTGCTCATCAGCAGGAACTCGACCAGCAACGCATGTTGAATTCAATAATTTATTTGCATTTTTTATTAGTCTGTTGTTTCCGAAGTATTTTTTTTTTACGAAAATGGCGAACGATGCGCAGAATTTTATTACCATACATTTTGTACAATACGAATATTTCCTGAAGATTTGAAAGGGTTTCCTAAATTAATAGTCACTCGAAGCCATGGCGAAAAAAACCTGGCTTGAAAAATACCATCACCGTGTGAAAATGCGTGTATTTTGGCTCGTTTATGCATTTTTAATTCACAATGCTATGCATATTTTTGATTCATTTTTTTTTTGCAGACGAGGTGGTCTTTTGCTCAATAACTTGTTAGGAATAGCGGGCGGATGCGTCATGGGATTCACAAAAATGGCCTTCTCATATGAAATGCTCATATTCGGAAGATTCCTCATTGGAATAAACTGCGGTAAGCTTCCCTCGCGATCATGAAAAAAGCAAGCTTTTGCGAATTCCTAATCAATTTAAGCAATTTTTGCTTCCTTCCTGACAATTGGTAATGTTCCCGTCATCTCCTCTCCCTTTCCCAAGATGGAAGATCAAAATGGTGGCTCACTTCTAATCCGATCTCGATGAAGATGGAGTATTGGAGGCTTTATCGCACGAGGTCTTGATAACTGGGTCCTATATTTTTTAAATTTAATTCAAAATAACGAAAATTCTGTGGATAATTTTCTTTAAACGGAGAAGAAGTTTCTCTCCAGAGCTGAAAAATTTTGTTGATGAATTTTGAAAAGATATTCTCGTGTACCGTACCTGATCTTTCGATTATAGAACTTCAGGAATGTTTTTTTATTCATCAAGATTCTGTGCTGGCTTCAAAAATGTTTCCCCCGAAGATATGGAAGATGGACAAGTTTAAAAAAAAAGCAAAACTTAGCAGAACAAGAAGACGAAGAAGTGAAGCCAAAAGACGTACACACGTAGACGTAACACCAGAGAACAAACTACCACTAAGTATATGACATTACGTCCCGACTTGTGCAGCCTGGCCCCGATGTACATAAGTGAAATCGCGCCTCTGAACCTGCGTGGCGGGCTGGGCGTGGTGAATCAGTTGGCTGTGACCGTGGGACTCCTGCTGTCCCAGATCCTAGGGATCGAGCAGATCCTGGGCACGCCCGACGGCTGGCCCGAGGACGAGCCCGACCGGCAGACGGGCCGGTAGGAGGTCGAGTAGGAGGACGGGTAAACGGGCCTCAGCGGCGCGATGGACGAGTAGAGCGCGGTCGCGCTCCTGCTACGGTCCTTTCCATTTTATGTGTATAATGTTTTCTTGTCCAGCCAACAAGTGCAAAAGTACCATGCAGAAAACACTGAATATCCATTGACTGATCAGCGAGCTTCATTTTCCACTTTGCAGCATTCACAAGGTTCATTAACAATGTTCCCAGGACATTCAAACACCCTCGCCTGACACCACCCACATTCATCCCAACACATATTCCATCACATCAGCAGAATGGAATATAGAGAAATGAGCTGTACAAATGGATATTAAAAGAAGAAAAAATAAATTCCTGAATGTAATATTGCATTTTATGTAAATGCATCAACTGATTTAAATGCATATACAGTATATACAGTACACTTGAATATGTGCACTGAATATTTTACGATAATCATGATACTCACGTTATCACAACCCCATCTCTCTGTCATCGCCAGAAATAACTGCCCTCTTATGTAGCTTGCGTTTAAGGTAGAGGTCACTGCTGCAAAATTGCTCAAATGCGTCGAAGGTTCAAAGGGGAAGGGGGGTTGAAAATACATTATAGCAGTTTTTGTTGCCCTGTGCTCATCCCGACCTAGAATTGCTCCATCTTTTGCAAGCTACAGTGGACAATTCGACCGCGAGTCACTCTTAAAACTCAAAAAGTCTGCCCAAATTCTGATGGAGCAATACGTTTCAACTTTCAAGATCAACACACTTTCCAACATTCATCAAGAAATGGAAAAATTTTATGTTACAAACTTTTCATGCCTCTCGAAAAAGTTGATCTATCTACATTCACGAAAATAATGAATACATTTAAATATAAATGCACTCTAATTCATGATAAAATGCTCATTTTGAGACAGGCTTCTCTTTTTCTAGAGTTTTTTTTTCCCCATCATCTGGGCGCAGTATTCTTTCTGTCTTTAACAATAAATACCAAAAGATCTTCGTACAAATTTTTTCATGGATAAGAGTGCCAATTAAATGTGTTTGGATTAAAATGTATGCTGGGATCCATCATGCTGATGCTCTGACACAAAGACAAGGTCCAAGCGTAAATTAAGTCCGCATATCGGGGCCCCACCGTAATACGTAGCACAAAAGGTCAGAAATACTGTACTGTACTGCGTATGTGTAAACTTTGTATGACTAAAATTTGAAGTACGATGCGATTCTTGATCAGCTATAGCATTGACATCGAATAACTTCCATATTAACGCCTGACACTGTTGCGAGAAAACATGGAAACGTGTCTTCATTTTCATTCAATTGTATCTGTACTGCATATCTTTCTTGAATGAACAGCTAGAACACTTTATTTGCCGCTTTTCAGCATTCACAAGGTTCAACCAAGATTTCCACATCCAAACCCCCTCCCCACACAACCCAAATCCACTTGAAGACATTTAATCACTTCAGAGCAGGAAACAGAGCACAAATGGATAACAAAAATAAAAGAATTATGTAAGGTGTTTAATGTTGACCTGTAGACTGTACATACGTATGTCCCATTCCTTCCCTGACATTGAAAACAAAATATCAGTAACAATTAATTTAAAGCACAAGGTCTTCAGCTTGTTTCTGTGTGAGGTTTAGGTTTACCCTCTGTATGAGGTCTTTCTTGAAAAACAGAATTTGTTTGTGCAGTAATACTGAACCCGTATATTTAGCAATTATGTATTTTTTTTCAAGCCCTGAGAAGACTGCGGAACACGTCGCAAGTGGAAGCGGATATCGAGGAAATGCGGGGCGAGGAGCGATCGCAGTCCAGGGAAGCTCAGGTGTCCATGTGCGAGCTTTTGTCTTTACGCTCATTCCGAATGCCGCTCATCATCGGAGTGGTCATGCAGCTTTCTCAGCAATTCTCAGGAATCAATGCGGTGAGTTGTTGTTTTTTTTCAAAGAATGATTGGGGACATCTGTTTTCCGTCGTCAGTCAAAAAATTTCAGAATTCTTCTCCTCATTTGTGATTGTGACCCAAGATAATTCGAAGAAATTTCCCCGCGGAGTCGCGGACGAACGGAAATGTTCTGCAATCTGACTTCAGTTTCTATTCGTAGGTGTCACCTCTAACACAGGAATGACTTCAGGTGCTGAATAAAAGCGTAGAAAAATATGAACTTTCCCCTGTGATCAGTATAGTACATCCCCAAAAAGAACACCCTTGAGACTGTCACTTCCCTGCATTTTCATAGACCAGGAAATACTGCATACTTTCCACAAAAAAAATTTGAATCAGTTTGTGCAACAGTCTCTCACCAAAAATAGAAAGGTGTCGTTGATGGCGACATTTAACGGGGTCCGTTCACCAAGAGCTTCCGCATGAGTCTTGGGTCATGCAGTCAATCGAACTTTTGATAGTTTACTTGAATACTAACTTTGACCAGGCTTCGGTTGACGGGGTCTGAAATTCAGGCTTCCTGTTGAAGTGATGAGCATTTTACTTGGATCTGATTTCCAACTACTGTACACGCATCTCAAACTTGATGGCTTCATTCAACTGTACTGCATTTCCTATTGTAAATAAATGAACTGTACACGGAGACTTCAATGTCGCGTGAAATTGAGTTGCCCGAAGGCATAGCAAACTCCCGAGAACGTAAAAACACGTGAGAGCGAGATAAAAAGAAGCTGCTAGAAAATTCCACTGAACCCTCTCCCGTAGTGAAATAAATGGAAGCAATAGCTGGAATAGTCAAATAATGTGGGTAATATTCGATTACAGGTGTTCTACTATTCCGTGGACTTGTTCGAAAGTGCTGGACTGTCGAGATTCGCTGCTCATTCGGCGACGATCGGCGTCGGTGCGGAAATGGTGCTCATGACACTGGTGTCGATCCCACTCATGGATCGAGCGGGTCGGAGAACCTTGCACCTTTACGGACTCGGCGGGATGTTCATCTTCTCTGTCTTCATTACCATATCACTCCTTGTCCGGGTACGTGGTCTTATATTTCTAATCACGTCTATCGATTTCAAAGGAATCGATAAAAAAAAAGTGCAGGGATGACATGCGAGTAAGAAACACGCACCTATTTTCATGTGGCTGCAGCATGTGTTTGTTGAGTCAGTATACTGTATATTCATAGAGGAATATAAGAGCGGAATGAGATTGGTGGGAACAAAATGGATTTCCAAACAAGCAAAGTCTCATCTTCAGGAGATATCCGTATTTTATTCGTGTCCGAATTTAAATTCGTAGCTCTCTATATTATCTATATTTGTTCATCGATTCAAGAAAGATCTTTTGGAATTTATTGAACAGGATTCCCAGTCAAGCCATTGCACTACATCCGCTGTTGATTTTTTTTTCTTCAAAATTTTCAAACGACACAGTTTGCTTACTTGTCCATAGACCTATTGAATGTCCTGTTGACCAAGAAAGACATAAATTCCCGAACATGAAAATGCTTTTCTTTATTTTTTGTCTGCGTTCCTAAATAGCCTTCATCATTATTGAGGACCAATGTCTTCAATATAATTTGATATCAAGTGCTATCAAGATTAAAATAAAAACACGTTATTCAGTCCAGGATAGGACCAGGATTCTGTTCAGGAATTCCTACCTTAAAAGGATAAACTGTATTTCACACAAGTATAAGATGAATAAACGACTCAACAACCTGGACTTGCCGGAATAAGCTTGAGAATAACTTGAGTAACGTAGTTTAACTGAACTGATCTGAATGATGATAAGGAATAAGAGCAGCTTATATACTACTAATAATAATTAACCTTCACAAGGTTTTACTTTACACTCAGAATAGGAAAGCTAAGGTCAAGGTTGCTGCAGTGCCAGGAGGTTCCTGGCACTGCAATTTTGAGGAGGAGGAAATACTTTGCTTCTTAGAATTAGGTACGCTACTTTACCCAGCGTAAATGCCCAACAATCATCACACGACCCAAAACGCAAAACCGTCTTTAATTTTTCGGATTCTGTCATTCTATTATATATGATTCCATGATCTAGAATTTTCTCGTTGATTTATTTTTTAACGAATGCAGCAAATGATCAAGTGGGTGAGCTACTTGTCGGTGATTTCGACGCTGTGCTTCGTGGTGTTCTTCGCCGTGGGGCCGGGTTCGATCCCGTGGATGATCACTGCCGAGCTGTTCTCCACGGGTCCCCGGCCAGCTGCCATGTCCATCGCAGTGCTGGTCAACTGGCTGGCCAACTTCGTGGTCGGCATCGGAGTGCCGCCACTCAAGCTCATGCTCGGCAACTACACCTTTCTGCCGTTTTCCGTTTTCCTGGGCGGCTTTTGGATCTTCACGTACCGCATGGTGCCCGAGACGAGGGGCAAGACGTTCGAGGAAATAGCCGCCTCTTTCCGCCGCTCCGGCCGACACAGCAGGTCCGCCGAAAAATATAAGCGCCTGTCATCCGTCTGATTTTTTTTTAAATGCACTTTTGCACTTACTTTTCCATAATTACAGTCAAACCCCCGATAAGATGCCACCATTTGTCCAGAGCAATTTTGGCGGTTTAAAGAGGTTGGCGGTTTATCAAATATTTAATTTTAATTATTTGATCAAAAAAATACTCAATTTTCCTCCATATGTCATAGAGATACAAGTTATTTAAGAAACTTCAGTAATTTTTCAAAGAGTGTTGCTGTGATAAATGGATTACTCTTTCAGAAAATAAATTTTACTGCATCAATTTATTCAAATTTCAAAATTAGGTCAATATAATTTTCAACAAAATAATCATTATTATTATTTTCCTTACAAATAAAAGATCCTCAACAGAAAATATAATTCTACCCTAATGTTGGCATTGTAACAAAGATACAACTAATTGGAAACAGCACTTTTGTTTCATCACTAATGCTGCTGGGGGATGGCGGTTGGCGTCTTATTGAGGTTATCCATAGAATTTAAAATAGAGGAGATTTGTTTTATTTGAAATTTTGGCAGTTGCTGAGGGTGGCGCTTTATCGGGGGCGTCTTAACGGGGTTTGACTGTACCTTGAAAGGGTTGCCGGAATAATTACGCGTAATTTATGTTGTATGATTGATGACACATCTTGTGCGAGCTTTTGTCTTTACGCTCATTCCGAATGCCGCTCATCATCGGAGTGGTCATGCAGCTTTCTCAGCAATTCTCAGGAATCAATGCGGTGAGTTGTTGTTTTTTTTTTTCAAAGAAAGATTGGGGTCATTTGTTTTCCCTCGTCAGCCAAAAATTTTCAGAATTCTTTTCCTTATTTTTGACCCAAAATAATTTGAAGAAATTTCCCCACGGAGTCGCGGACGAACGGAAATGTTCTGCATTTCGACTTCAGTTTGCTATTCGTAGGTGTCACCTCTAACACAGGAATGACTGAGGCGTTGAATATCCGCGTAGAAAAAGGGGAAACTTCCCCTCCCCTGTAATCAGTATAGATCCCCAAAAAGAACGCCCTCGAGAATGTCACTTCCCTGCATTCTCATAGACCAGAACAAATTGCATCTTTTCCAAATAGCAGTTGAATAAGTTTGTGAAACAGTCTCATACCAAAAATAGAAAGGTATCATTGGCGAAATTTTACGGGGTCCGTTCAACAAGAGCTTCTGCATGAGTCTCGGGTCATGCAGTGAATCGAACTTTTGATGCTTTATTTGAATACTAACTTTGACCAGGCTTCGGTTGATCGGGTCTGGAATCCATGTTTCAAGTAGAAGTGAGCATTTTACTTGAATCCGATTACGAACTAATGTACTGTACTGTACACACATCTCAAACTTGATGGTTTCGAGAATGTCACGAAACCATCAAGAATGGTTTCCTACAGGCTACAAATACTGTATTCCTATATTGTGAAGAAATGAGCTGTACACGGAGACTTCAATGTCGCGTGAAATTGAGTTGCCCGAAGGCATAGCAAACTCCCGAGAACGTAAAAACACGTGAGAGCGAGAAAAAAAGAAGCTGCTAGAAAATTCCGCTGAACCCTCTCCCGTAGTGAAATAAATGGAAGCAATAGCTGGAATAGTCAAAGTTACACCCATTATAAGCTAATGTCCACAAGATGATAAGGCACCTGAACAAGCTTTCACGACCTGACAGCTCTAAGCGACGAGTAAGCCGCTGCTAGCCGCAGCCACGCCTTTACCACGAGTACTGTGTGGTGTCGTAGGGTGAGTACCTAGCTCGCCCAGCCTCTTGGAACGTGGAAATGCCTGAGCCGCCCTACAAGTAGAAGAGACAGAAGTAATGGTATAGTGAGGAACAGGCCCATGCACCAGAATATAAAGATTAGTAGTCTACCGATTTCAAAGGAATCGATGAAAAAAATGAAGATCAGGGATGACTATATGCGAGCAAGAAACACGCACCTATTTTCATGTGGCTGCAGCATGTGTTTGTTGAGTATTCATAGAGGAATATAAAAGCGGAATGAGATTGGTGGGAACAAAATGGATTTCCAAACAAGCAAAGTCTCATCTTCAGGAGATATACGTATTTTATTCGTGTCCGAATTTAAATTCGTAGCTCTCTATATTATCTATATTTTTTCATCGATTCAAGAAAGATCTTTTGGAATTTATTGAACAGGATTCACAGTCAAGCCATTGCACTACATCCGCTGTTGACTTTTTTTTCTTCAAAATTTTCAAACGACACAGTTTGCTTACTTGTCCATAGACCTATTGAATGTCCTGTTGACCAAGAAAGACATAAATTCCCAAACACAAAAATGCTTTTCTTTATTTTTTGTCAGTGTTCTTAAATAGCCTTCATCATTATTGAGGACCAATGTCTTCAATATAATTTGATATCAAGTGCTATCAAGATTAAAATAAAAACACGTTATTCAGTCCAGGACAGGACCAGGATTCTGTTTAGGAATTCCCATGTTAAAATGATGAACTGTATTTCACATGAGTATAAGATGAATAAACAACTCAACAAGCTCAACTTGCAGGAATAAGCTTGAGAATAAATTGAATAACACAGTTTAACTGAACTGATCTGAATGATGATGAGGAATATGAGCAGCTTATATACTACTAATAATAATTAACCTTCACAAGGTTTACTTTACAATCTGAATAGGAAAGCTAACTTTGAGGATGCTGGGGTGCCAGGAAGTTCCTGGCTCTGCGATTTTGAGGAGGAGGAAATACTTTGCTTCTTAGAATTAGGTACGCTACTTTACCCAGCGCACATGCCCAACAATCATCACATGACCTGAAACGCGAAACCGTCTTTCATTTTTCGGATTCTGTCATTCTATATATGACTCCAGCATGATCTGGAATTTTAGCGTTGATTTATTTTTATTTTTTTAACGAATGCAGCAAATGATTAAGTGGGTGAGCTACTTGTCGGTGATCAGCTGCGACACGAAGCACCACAAGAAGCGGCACCCCGGCCCAAGCTAGGGCACCTACTAGTGACGGCTCGACAAGAGGTGCCCAGGGGCCGGTCGACGGTACAGGTAGCGTCACGACCAGTTGACCGTGGCCAACTTCGTGGTCGGCATCGGAGTGCCGCCACTCAAGCTCATGCTCGGCAACTACACCTTTCTGCCGTTTTCCGTTTTCCTGGGCGGCTTTTGGATCTTCACGTACCGCATGGTGCCCGAGACGAGGGGCAAGACGTTCGAGGAAATAGCCGCCTCTTTCCGCCGCTCCGGCCGACACAGCAGGTCCGCCGAAAAATATAAGCGCCTGTCGTCCGTCTGATTTTTTTGTTTAAATGCACTTTTGCACTTACTTTTCCATAATTACAGTCAAACCCCGATAAGATGCCACCATTTGTCCAGAGCAATTTTGGCGGCTTAAAGAGGTTTGCGGTTTATCAAATATTTAATTTTAATTATTTGATCAAAAAAATACTCAATTTTCCTCCATATGTCATAGAGATACAAGTTATTTAAGAAACTTCAGTAATTTTCCAAAGAGTATTGCTGTGATCAATGGATTACTCTCTCAGAAAATAAAGTTTACTGCATCAATTTATTCAAATTTTAAAATTAGGTCAATATAATTTTCAACAAAATAATCATTTTTATTATTTTCCTTACAAATAAAAGATCCTCAACAGAAAATATAATTCTACCCTAATGTTGGCATTGTAACAAAGATAAAACTAATTGGAAACAGCACTTTTGTTTCATCACTAATGCTGGGGGATGGCGGTTGGCGTCTTATTGAGGTTATCGATAGAATTTAAAATAGAGGAGATTTGTTTCATTTGAAATTTTGGCAGTTGCTGAGGGTGGCGCTTTATCGGGGGCGTCTTAACGGGGTTTGACTGTACCTTGAAAGGGTTGCCGGAATAATTACGCGTAATTTATGTTGTATGATTGATGACACATCTATTTGAAATTTTGGCAGTTGCTGAGGGTGGCGCTTTATCGGGGGCGTCTTAACGGGGTTTGACTGTACCTTGAAAGGGTTGCCGGAATAATTACGCGTAATTTATGTTGTATGATTGATGACACATCTCGAAAAATACAAGATGTGTAAGAAAGTAGCCGATTTTCTTACCGTCATCGCAAATTCCTCGAAGTAAAAGTTTTGACATTTCAAAGACTATGGGTTGAAGCTGGTTAGGCTGCCGAGTTGAACAAATTGAACGCTATTTGCTTCACCTGAAGTAATTTTCGTTTTCTTCATTCTCTTCAAACAGTCTTTCGATGGACGACACTGGTCCCTACGGGTGAGTTCCATCGTTTTTTTTTTTTTTTTGGAAAATCAGGTTGATAGTCTTCTTGTTCTATATGTACAATATTTATATGTTCTCTGCTATTTTTAAATCGCTCTTTCTGATGTTTTTCCGAATGGTAGATTTTTCGTGATTCCCGTGCTACACTAAGTTCAAATGTCTATGCTTTAAATTCGTATGAAATTATTATTTCGTTTCGTGATTTACTTACGTAGAATGTATCTGTTCTTTTGGTGAAAATGGTTTTGTTGAGCGGCATGGTTGAATTCTGTGTATACATATTTTTATTTATTTTTATTTTCATTTTTTAGAGTTAGTGAAGGAACAACGTTGACATATTTTAGTACGGCTATTTAAAATCTGCATTGAACTGATAATACGCAAAAGCAAGTGAACATTTTCAAATCATGGCTGGAATTCATTCTGATTGATTCGATGAAACACGTTTCAAATGTTTGGTTCAAATAAATTATAAATTTATGACAGAGTTTAGATTCCGATACGTCTCAACTTGAGCATAAGGTTCAAAAACGTGTGCCACGCTGGTCTTCAATTCAATATTTCAATCAACCATCAGGTTGATTGAAACTTTTGTCAATTCAAGAATATAAAATTCTTTATCTCAAACGATATGCAACAAAAAACTCAGTTAAAATTAAATTATTTTTAGGTTATACTGTAATACTATGTAACTCCATTGTCAGTTGAAGGGTATTTTTCACTCGCAAGGCATAATTGTTTAATGTCTCAAGAATCAAGGGGATGGATTGATTTCTTGAATTTTGTGTTTGATCACGAAATGCTACAACTGCGCCAGCCTTATTCTGTTTTTTTTTTTTATTCTGCTTTTAGAGCAAATGCTTTTGATTATATTCATGAGAATGATTGAATTTGGTGTCTTCTTATTAGTACTCTATTTGAATTTCGCTTCGCGATTATTTATCGATATATGCGTTATTCTGCTCGAATATTCCCTGACTTATTTGGCGTATTTATAGCGTAACTTATTTTCCCCCCTTCGAGATAATGAGTTTTAATTTTTTTTCTTTTCCATGCTGATCGAATCGATGTTTCGACAAACCACACAAAAACGAAACATTGACCGAAACAAAAACAAAAAAATGTTATAGAAGCGCGTACAACTGCATTCAAGCGGCGCCTTATGTGGCGTCGCACCATTCCATCCAGAGCGGCGACTACGCTTCCGTCGTCGGGCTTCGGGACACCGATCATTCTTGCTGCTGTAAGCGATATGAGAATCAATAGTCGTCGTGCCGAGTATTTGTGGATAAGATTTTACCAAGCGAATCCTCAGTTCAATTCCACTTTATTTTATTTGATCCATAAAATTGGTGCAATGAGTTTTATATTTTGTTCCTATATAACGAGCTGCGGATCACGAAAATATCAGAGGGAACTCCAAAAATCCCCGAAAGAATGACCCCGATGTCAGACTAAAAAATACAAAATTACGAGGGCAGACAGCATTTCAGGAAAAACTTGAAATGAAACTTCTTGCCCTGAGAGAAAAGTCGCTTTCGAGATTATAAAATTGATTTTGTCGTTAACGATGCTGAATCGGCAGTAATACAGTATTATATGTATTCCAATATATTTTCTTTCGCCTTGAAAGCATAAAAATACTCCGAGGTTTATCGCATATTGTCTATTTTCAGAGTACAATTCATAAATGTTCCTTCAACTGCCCAACGAAACGTAATGAGCAGTCTAAAAATACGAAAAAATGAAAATGATTCCAAAATTTTGAAATTCTAGCAATCGGGCTTCAAGAAATCTTTAATTTTTGGGCATGCAGGTCTACAATCGTACCAAAATTATGTCTCTGTCAATTCTGTATACACGTGATTTCACCCTGAATTTATCCAATTAATTAAACCCTGAATTTTATGTAGTGTTCGAAAAATAAAATCATTGAATATTCCTTAATTCTTTCAGAAATGCATATTTCGTCGTCAGAGAAATTGTGAAACGTTATATGGAAATTCTGGAATTTCAAGTTTGATAAAAGTATGACGTTGCTAAGGATCAAAGAAGAGTTGAATTGAATCGGGGATTCGATTTAGGGTTACATGCATTGAGTTGTTAGCATGCTTAGGACATCACGTTTAATTTGATTTCATTCACGAACACAGCGTTTTTCATTGTGTTTGCTTGGTGTCGCTGTTATCCTAGGTTTTTCTCACTTTTTCTAGTTGAACTTGACGTCACATTATATATTATCTGCACTATACAGTACAATATTTCCCAAAGCTTGCGACAAACAGTCGGTTTCTCATTCAATCTTTGATTCATCATTACTTGGACTTGCTTGTGAAATTCATTTCGAAAATACTGCATTCTTGAAGCAGTGAAAAAGTTTAACTTACCTATTTTTCCATTATATCAGTTTATGGACAAGACATCATTTGAAATACTCACATTATGCTTTTTTCTCTCGCAGAGTGACGGCACATGCACGCTAAAAAAAATAGTCTTTTTTTTACACCATTCGAGATTTTTGATTCATTAATTGCTTGGGGTATTCAAGAAAATTGTGAGATTTTCGGAAGACATCTTCGTCATACTCTGAGAGCTTGAGTTGGATCTTTCCTTTATCGAGTGAATTGCTTTGCCGGAATTTTTCACATTTTCCTTCTATTTTAACCACGATTTAAGTGCCATTTCTTTCGTTACGGCTTTAATTTCTATGAACTGCTTATTTTTTTCGGATGAGAACGGCAGATCGGTATCCCGACTCGACACGTCTTCAAAGAAGCCTTCTTCCTTGTACAAAATCACCCATACGAACACTTGGAGCTCCTCCTCTCTCTGTTTTATATTTTCTTTTCATATTTATTCTACCTCAAAATGTATTTTTAGTTTTTGTTTTGTTTTCGTAAATCCTTCAGCACGCCGTTTGTAGTTTTGAGGTGGCGTTGAAATAGGAAACGCTGTTCAGGACTTCAGAACACTGTTGCGCGAAATCAAATCAGAGGGCTTTATAATGATTTATACTTGTCACATCGCTTGTTGTAATACAGTATATGTGTCGTAACTCTAAAGTTCTCAAACTTATATCAAAGACATTATTTGTTAATGAAATAAATTTCCTTCTGCAGAGTTCAAGAGTAGCTCTTGGGATTTCCTATGTAAAAATTATTTGAAGCTCTTTGCGTATCTTAATGTAAGAAATACGCAATTCAAGGGCTCGTTGAAAGGTTCTGTCAGAATTATAGTAACCTCAGTGGAGTATTCTGAAATCATGGAAATAAATGAATGGACGAAAAAGGTTCAATCTTTTTCTTGCTCAGACTAAAATGTAAAGAAAGCAGTGTGGAGTGAAACTCATCCTGCCTGCGAAACTCGTGTATTAAATTAGTTTTAGTGTGAAGTGCTAAAAATATTTGAAATGACTGCTGTAACGTATAAATAAAAAAAAATCTTAATGACGTTATCCCCGTATACTGAAACCTATGTCAACGATGTTCTCAGCTCAGAGTTACAAAAAAAACCATGTTTCTGAATGCTGGTAAGATTCTTCGAGAATGTTATGTGATTAAATCGTGAACTCGTGATGCCATGTGAAATGGAATCCTTTACAAGTCATCAACTGATCGTTACTTTGAGTAGTATTATTGGAACCTCAAAGGTTTTTAGAATATCTCTGGCTCATAAACTGGTTTACTTACTTGATAAGCGATTCTTGCACAATTTGACCATATTAGCTTTCATCTGTTGAATCTTCCTTCGAAGGCTTGAACTATTTTAATCCATTCGAATGTATTCCTGGAATACGACGCTGGAGTTTTGGATTTCACGTTTTTTTTTTTTCGTGGGCATTCACAATACCTTCATTAGATTCTCAGTGCTTTTAAAAATTGAATTTCATTGATCAATCTTCGCATTTGAAAAATTGTGATTCTAACCATCGCACCTAACGACTTGGAAGATTGTGGGGATACTTGTATTCTCGACGACCCCTTTCAATCATCACGAATTCCATTCATATATAAATTCCTTCATATTTTTATAATTTTGACAGAATTTTCACACGAAAAACCCCGTCACTTCTCAAAAATTCACTTAATTTGCCATGCAATTTATATTGCGGTTAATCCACACGTCAAGGAACCGACAGCACGTTTTGACCATGTATTAAATCTTTCTGATACATTGCAGAATCTAGCTGATCTGAGACTTTCATTGCTTTGAGGGAACCTTTTAGGATCACCCTGGCTTCCGTAACTATTAAATTTAATATTTTTGTAGTATATTTTTCGGAATTGGCAGCTGCTCTTCGAGATTTTAATCGCTTTGGAAAATTTGAAAAAAAATGTCAATGCTTGTATCGTAGTCGCAGCCCATTTTCATTCCAAAAATTTTGAACTATAGTATTTGAACCATTTTTTGGACTATTCTTTACAGATTAAAGCTGTTTTTCGTCTAATGGCAGACCTGATCTGGTTATTCTGGCTTTCATCCATATACAGTGCTTGTATATTTCAGTAGCTTTCTTTATTGTTATTTTTCTGCAGCTCCGTCAGATTCAGAGCGTAATAGTTCGCAAAATTTGAATTACTTTATTCTTTTTTTGCAATGGTTACAATTGTTGATATCAGCTTTGAGGAAACTGACAAAACGCTTGATCCATTGCATCGTTCTATCTTGAAACATAAATTTTGAGATTTAATGCATTTGATCTTATGAGAAACCTTCTTTAGTCATTCTGTCATCCATTCAAAATTATTTCAATATTTATTTTTCAATGCATTAATTCATTTCACGAACAGTAAGACGCCGAGATGCGGACGTGTAATTGGTGTATGAATCTTGGTTCCATTTCGGATTGTCCGCACGTCGGATCTCATTTTACCATAAACTTCAATGCCAACGCATTTAATTGGTTCTTCAAATTTTCACAAATAAGGGATGTCATCCAAAAAATTGAATGAAAATTGTTTCTCTCAACTTGAAGGTGCAGAAAACAACTGTGCAGAATAAAATCAAATAGAATCTGATCTCTTGGTCTTGAAAGGAGCTCAAAAAATCAAAAGAAGAATCATTAGTCCTGCTATAATGTGTGCAGATGCTTGGATAAACTCTGAAAAATGCCCAAAATCAGCCTTTTTTGAAAATGAATCAAACTTATTTGTGCATATAAACACTGTTGTTCAATTTTTTAAAGATGTATCAGGAGAAAAAATAAATTTTCTGGAAAATATGGGCCAAGTGTCCCTATATCTCGAGCCGCTGTCCAGATGTTGCGTCAGGTTTCGTCGAGTTTTGAGTGTCCCAAAATCGAATCGTCCGTATGTCGGGGTCTCACTGAATTTTTTCTTTCCATGAATGGGATTCAACAGCAGCTCCGCCAGATTCACGCCGGGGTTCTACCCAGAGGGCACTTGTTCGAGTCCAGACTGCCCTGGAAGATGACGGCCCCTGACGACTGAGACGCCGTCGCACACCACCGACCAAGACAGCAGTCGTGACGAGGGCCACTTCCGAGAAGACGACGGCGTCGAGCTCAGTGACGACCACAGCGACGACTTCTCCGACGACGGTGACGACATCCACGCCGAAACCCGCTTCCCGTCATCAGTCCACGAACAACGGCGACGTTCTTCGGCGCCGATGATCGGGATCGGCGGGATTCATCGAGGTGTCGATCACGATGATGATGATGATGATGCGATTGATGTCGATGATGATGATGATGATGAAGTTGACGTCGTGCCGGACATGTACGTGGACGTGGAGAGCTGCGAATATAACGCGTATTCGGGTGACGATGACGAAGTGCGGTTGTTTGTGCGTCGGAGTCAACCGACACTCGAGGCACCGACACCGACACTGTTCTCCAGGCTTCGACGCGTTTTCCCCATGTTCGGATACAGTCGTCGTCGACGTCGCTGAGCTGCTTCTTCTTCTCCTTTCTGTTTCTTTGTTTTATTTTATTTCATTGTTAACATTTTTTATGTCTGATCACGAGGAAATGCCGTATTCACTTGAACTCGAGACGCCATGGGTTACAATAAGACAACTTTCCAAGTTGACGCTTCGAAAATGAAATGAATTTATTTGCGAAAGCAAAAGGGTCATATTCTTAGCAAGGAATTTCTTCTGATGAGTCCGTTGAGTTTATTAGTGTGTTGATCGACCTCTTAATCTCAATTTTTTTTTTGGAATATAACTGATGACCGCAACTGTTTTATGCACCCAAAAATGAAAATGGCGAGGTATTTTGTTGAACTATAGACCAGGTTTTTTTTTTCCTGTTGATGAGAAGATATCGAGATCTTGATCTACGACTTACAGATGCCATCAAGCAGAGAAAACTGTTCAATGTAACACGAATTTAGCCATTCGAGTTGATGTTTTCCATAAAAAAATGTCTGTTGAATTTGTTTAAATACGGTATTGATCCCCTCGGGAACCAAATGGTTAATTACTATTGACTGTAGGGTTCGCTTTTGCTTGCGAAATAAGGAAACGGTTACGGAATTTATCTCGAAAAAAAAATCACCATGCCCTTCGGGGTGATAAAAAAAATTACAATATTTCAACCGAAGACCATAAGGATTCAAAAGATTATCTGATTGAAACCATGTTATCAATATAGTGTTGCCACTCACATGCATTCCTCGGTAAACGAAAAAAAAAATTTTATCCGTGAAAAACGATTGAAAAAATTTTTCACATGCATTCTTCGCGTCTGATTTGCAAATAATGATAAATGTATAGATTCGTCAGTTCCGTGTTCTAAACTTTGAAATAAATTTTTAATTTTAAAAATTCGGATTTTCTCCAGCATGGAAAATACTGTTCTCCCGAAAAGTATTCTGATAAATAAAGGCGTTTAAACGCTTTCTCAATTATTAAAATGTTTCATTCAGATTAAAAAATTTATCGAGAGAAATATTTGCTAAAATTACGTTATACAGTCCATGGAGTTTCAGGGATTCGGAAAAGACTCACAATAATTAACCCAGCAATTTACTGGTTTTTCTCATGAATGACTGTAGAAGTATTGGCATTGGCAATTCTTGAATATGCTAGGTTTCAAAGAAAAGAGTCCGACAACTTCAATGTGATGATTCTAAAATAATAAATTTCGACAAAATTACGCAAAAGGATCTCGTGTCATTCAAAGTGAAAAAAGATGCAGTACTTGAAATGTCTATGCTTAATATAAATTAACGAGGTCTCCTTCATGTTCTAGAAACATGACATTCTATCTCGTGCTCCTTTCCAAAGAAAATTTTGATCCATGTTTTTTCTTGGCAACGTCATGATTACGATAGTTTTGCATCGCGGAAAATTACCCAATGCTCATCCAACAGAAGAAAGGAGAAAATTCGAGAGCAAGTTTGTATCCGTCACTGCCAAAAGAAAAGAAAAATGACACTTGGCCTGTTTCGCCTGCTTCTTTTTTTTTCGTCAATGTGCGAAATTAAATTCGTCGGCCAGTTGTTTTTTTCTGAACGTCGGCTGTTGTTGAGAAGAGAAGTGTTTTGAATTCGAAGAACTTCCGTGTTTTAGCTGATTATTTATGTTTTCCTTTTTTTTTTTTATACTTGAGGGAGACAATCTTGGGTCGATTTTTCGGAGCTGGTTGACGAGTTTTTCTTCTTCCTTTTTAATTTTCTCGCATTCGAAGAGATTGCTTTTCGGATTTTGGCACGAGCTGGAAGCAATATCGAGTGGAAGGGTTCACGAGTGAGTGTCGGACTTGTTTTTTTTTATTTCTTTCTTTCTGTGTATCTCATCCCGAAAATGTTCCTTCTTCCCTGAAATGCTGCTCCGTGTTGTTCGCCTTCTTCTTCCTCGCCCTGACAGGGAAGAAACGAAAGGAAATATGAATGATTCGTGAGACAAATATTTTTCAGACGCTCAAGCTGAGGGTGGGGAACTGTGAAGCACAAGTCGAGTGACGGGAGGAAGAAAAAAAAAAGAAAAAAGAAAAGCTGCTTCCCCCGGTTTTGCATTCAAATCGCTGTTTTTTTCCCTTTTCTTTCCTTGGGATGTAATCAAGGTTTCGCATTCCCCGCTGGGAGTTGTTTTTATTCGGCGAGCAGTGAAATACGTCTCGTCTCATTGCTCCTCATTTTCTTTCTTTTTCTCCTCGAAGCGAGGAACGATTTGTACCATGGAAACGCCCCGAGTGAAACATGAATGAATTAGTATGATTATTTGCGAAAAAAAAGAAGATAATCTGCATTGTTGGCGGGGGGGGGGGGGGGGGGGGGGGGGGGGGGGGNCATCAATCGCATCATCGTCATCATCATCGTGATCGACACCTCGATGAATCCCGCCGATCCCGATCATCGGCGCCGAAGAACGTCGCCGTTGTTCGTGGACTGATGACGGGAAGCGGGTTTCGGCGTGGATGTCGTCACCGTCGTCGGAGAAGTCGTCGCTGTGGTCGTCACTGAGCTCGACGCCGTCGTCTTCTCGGAAGTGGCCCTCGTCACGACTGCTGTCTTGGTCGGTGGTGTGCGACGGCGTCTCAGTCGTCAGGGGCCGTCATCTTCCAGGGCAGTCTGGACTCGAACAAGTGCCCTCTGGGTAGAACCCCGGCGTGAATCTGGCGGAGCTGCTGTTGAATCCCATTCATGGAAAGAAAAAATTCAGTGAGACCCCGACATACGGACGATTCGATTTTGGGACACTCAAAACTCGACGAAACCTGACGCAACATCTGGACAGCGGCTCGAGATATAGGGACACTTGGCCCATATTTTCCAGAAATTTTATTTTTTCTCCTGCTGATACATCTTTAACAAGTTGAACAACAGTGTTTATATGCACAAATAAGTTTGATTCATAATAAACAAAGGCTTATTTCGGGCTTTTTGCCGAGTTATTCCAAGCATCTGTGCACATTATAGCAGGACTAATGATTCTTCTTTTGATTTTTGAGCTCCTTTCAAGACCAAAAGATCAGATTCTATGTGATTTTATTCTGCACAGTTGTTTTCTGCACCTTCAAGTTAAGAGAAACAATTTTCATTCAATTTTTTGGATGACTTATTCCTTATTTGTGAAAAATTGACGAACCAATTAAATGCGTTGGCATTGAAGTTTATGGTAAAATGAGATCCGACGTGCGGACAATCCGAAATGGAACCAAGATTCATACACCAATTACACGTCCGCATCTCGGCGTCTTACTGTTCGTGAAATGAATTAATGCATTGAAAAATAAATATTGAAATAATTTTGAATGGATGACAGAATGACTAAAGAAGGTTTCTCATAAGATCAAATGCATTAAATCTCAAAATTTATGTTTCAAGATAGAACGATGCAATGGATCAAGCGTTTTGTCAGTTTCCTCAAAGCTGATATCAACAATTGTAACCATTGCAAAAAAAGAATAAAGTAATTCAAATTTTGCGAACTATTACGCTCTGAATCTGACGGAGCTGCAGCCAAATAACAATAAAGAAAGCTACTGAAATATACAAGCACTGTATATGGATGAAAGCCAGAATACCCAGATCAGGTCTGCCATTAGACGAAAAACAGCTTTAATCTGGAAAGAATAGTCCGAAAAATGGTTCAAATACTCAAGTTCAAAACTTTCGAAATTAAAATGGGCTGCGACTGCGATACAACCGTTGAAATTTTTTTTAACTTTTCCAAAGCGATTTAAATCTGAAAGAGCACCTGCGAATTCCGAAAAATATACTACAAAAAAAAATTTAATAGGTACGGAAGCCTAGGGTAATCCAAAAAGGTTCCCTCAAAGCAATAAAAGTCTCAGCTCAGCTAGATTCTGCAATATATCAGAAAGATTCAATACATGGTCAAAACGTTTTGTCGGTTCCTTGACATGTGGATTAACCGCAAATTGCATGAGAAATTAAGTTAATTTTTGAGAAGTGACGGGTTTTTTCGTGTGAAAATTCTGTCAAAACTATAAAAATATGAATGATGTATGAATGGAATCCGTGATGATCGAAAGGGGTCGTCGAGAATACAGTATCCCCACAATCTTCCAATTAAGTCGTTAGGTGCGATGGATAGATTTAAAAAAATTTTAAATGCGAAGATTGATCAATGAAATTCAATTTTTAAAAGCACTGAGAATCTAACGAAGGTATTGTGAAAGCCCACGGAAATAAACCGTAAAATCCGAAACTCGTCCAGCGTTCTTCAGGAATTTATTCGAATGGATTGAAATAGTTCAAGCCTTCAAAGGAAGATTCAACAGATGAAAGCTTCTGTGGTCAAAATTGTGCAACAATCGCTTATCAAGCAATTAAACCAGTTTATGAGCCAGAAAAATTCTAGAAATCATTGACGTTCCAATAATAATACTCTAAATAATGATCAGTTGATGACTTGCAAAGGATTCCATTTCATACTGCATCACGAGTTCACGATTTTAATCTCACCACATAAAATACTTGAACAATCTTACCAGCATTCAGAAACATTGAAAGTAACTCTGAGCTGAGAACATCTTTGACATATGGGTTTCAGTATACGGGGATAACGTCATTAAGATTTTTTTTAATTTATACGTTACAGCAGTCATTTCAAATATTTTTAGCACTTCACACTAAAACTAATTTAATACACGAGTTTCGCAGGCAGGATGAGTTTCACTCCACACTGCTTTCTCTACATTTTAGTCTGAGCAAGAAAATAATTCAACTTTTTCCGTCCATTAATTTATTTCCATGATTTCAGAATACTCCACTGAGGTTACTATAATTCTGACAGAACCTTCGAACGAGCCCATGAATTACGTATTTCTCACATTAAAATACGTAAAGAGCTTCAATTTTTCTTCAAAATGTTTTACATTGGAAATCCCAGCAAGAGCTACTCTAGAACTCTGCAGAAATAAATGTATCCATTGACAAATAATGTCTTTGATATAAGTTTGAGAACTTTAGAGTTAC